AATTAAACTACTTGTACAATGAATTTGCACAATGATTTTGACAATGTGTGAGATGTATAGATCATTGTCATTGAATTCAAAAACAATCTTTCAAATCAATGGGCATAATGTCTACCAACTCACACATTGTCAAACTTATTATCAAATTCATTGTACAAGTAGCATAATTCATATATATATATACACACACACACATTTACGCAGGGCAGACAAAAGAAAGGTGAGAAAAGAGAGAAAAGAGGAGGAGAGAATGAGAATACACATACAGGAAGAAAGAGACGACAGGGAAAAGCAGCAGAAAAGGAAAGAGAGAGAAAGAAAAGAGAGAGAGAGAGAAAGAAAAGAGACCGCATACACGAGAAATTTCACGTTTCGTTAATTTTTGATGATATCTTTTCACTTTTGCGTATTATTATTTTTACAATATGAATAACTAAATTTTATATTAAGAAAAACGGTTTAGTCGACTTGTGATCCTTTTTTTTCTATTCAAAATTTATGTGATTTATTCTTATATGTGTTGGTTTTATTATGAGTTTAATGCATTAAATTACCTGATCAATAATTTGATAATTATACGAGTATCTTACAAATCGAGAGACGAGTTTGCGATTTAGACCATATAGTAAAATTTAGTAAATTAGTATAACGTTTAGAAATACATATATTGATTATTACGATCACAATATGAATTCTTAGAACTAGTATTTCATTTAACTAAAATTGATTCGCATAGAAATGTGTAATTTAATTAGTTAAATAAGTTCAATGAAAACTCGAGAGGGTAAATTAAATACAATAGAAAAATTTCTTTTAATTAAAATTGATTCACATAGAAATATGAAATTTAATTAGTTAAATAGGCTCAAAGAAAACTCTAGAAGGGTAGATTGAATACAATAGAAGAATTCGATCGAACAATACATTAGGTTTTAAATCTTGCATTAAAAATTAAGGTAGTCAATAGATGAAATTGTCATTCCCTAATATTCATCGCATATTTGAATTTTCAATCTACTACTTTTGCAATCTTTTTATATTTTCAATTAGTTAAAAGTAGTTAGGAAAGAAATAATCACAATCATCATAAATATTTACTTGCTTTTGTCAAATGAGAGTTGAAAAATATTAGATTAAGTTCTGAAGTATAGTCTTCGTGAGAACGATATCCGGATTCAAATGTCCACTATACTGCTTGTCACGATATCGTACACTTGTGATATAGTCGAATTACATAATACTTCAAAAACACACATTAGTACTTGTTCAAGAGAGACATTTTCTTTTTTCCCTTTTATTTTGTGTTTCTGTTCAGGGGATGAAGATTTTAGACAAACCAGAGAAGGATAAACTTAAGCAGCTTCAGCAAATCCAACCCTCATATTCCCATAGTCGAATACAGTGTGATACTGACCCATGAAAAC